AGCGGCACAGATGAACTTGTACAAAAATATCCGTGCTCTTTTATGGCCGATATGTATAGGTGAAATATAAATAAACAAATAGTTTATTCTCAACAGGGCGAGGCACACCTGGGCCATGCGATTCATGCAATGGCGTTCTAGAGTCATATAGAAATGGAAATCCTCTACTTAACTGGTTCGACTCATACCTAAACGCTCGAACTCAAGTGGTTAAAATCGGTCAGCAATATTCTACACGGAAAAGATAACCAGCGGCGTCTTCCGGGGAAGTGTGCTCGGACCACTACTTTTCCTAATCTACCTAAACAACATATGTGACACGATCAAACTTGGACACCCATTTCTGTTTGCAGAGGACGTCAAACTGTTCTACGCATTTCATCCAGACCAACTACATATATCTTTTGGAACATCTGTGAAGACCTATCCGCATTAAATATAGCTAGTGAACTTTTATTAATGAAGTTCTCCGCAGTGAAATTCCAATACTTGGGTACAGATGTTTCATCCCCGAAGGCTCTATAATACTTGCCGGAAAACTGATCCCAACGTCCGATTCTGTTCGGGACTTAGGAATTAGGTAATTCAACTCTTTCAATTTCTCTGAACATGTGCTTTATCAGGTTGCGAAAGCAAGGCAGTTATGCGGATATATCAGCAGAACTTTCTCCCCAGCTGAAACACGACTTGAGTCATTCAAGACAATAGTACGACCGACTCTGGAATACTGTACTCTCTTTCACAGCCAAATGAAAATGAAAGACAGAATGGCTCTGGAAAATGTCCAGCGATCATTTACCAAACTTTTCATAAGGCGCTGCTCAAATCTGAGTTATTATGATCGCTGTCGAAAACTCAAAATGCATGCACTTCGGCTGAGACGCTTGAAAAACAACCTCGTTCTCTTCTACAACATTATAAACCAATGAATTTACGTAGACAGCACGGCACTTGAATTACGGAAGGCTGCAATCTACCCCACACGTAATGCCGGCTACTTGATACGCACAAACCTTTCAAGTCATAAAACTCGATCGAATTTCTTCTTAGTGAGATACACTGATCTGTGGAACAAACTACCCCTACAGGTACGCATGAGTGCAAGCTATGTCACATTTCGAAATTTCTTTCAGACGTTCCTCAATATATCAAATGTGTTGAAAATGTTTGGCTCAGAGAAACTCGAGAAACATTGTCAGAGGCTGGTTTAAAAAACATTTGAGCAGATATTCGCTTACAACTAGCTTACCCACTACATTTCATTACGTACAATACCAAATGCTGTTTTTGTAGCCTAGGATCCCCTCCCTTTTATTATCTACTCCTGAGCCCCACAAACTAAAACATAATGATACAAACATCCGTAAATTATGCATATTAGGTGTACGGGTCTAGGACCCGAGGAAAGATAACATGATCCGAAATTCTATTAATAAACTTTTCTTTACTATTATGATTTACGTCGCATAAATCATGAAACCTATTCACTATACAAACGATCGCTTCCACTTATGGGGCCGTGTTCTGTCTGCCGGTAAATATACAAATTTGTTTGTTCATTTTATTTATTTAAAGCCTAGTTTTGGAGCCATTGGTGTTTAGATGTTCATGAGCCCCTCTTGGAATAGCTTCTCAAGAGACTTTTACCATGTGAATATATTGACTATGGTATTTAGCCCAAGGTATTTGAAAGGTTTACTTCTAACTATTGCCACATTAACACATCAACCGAATGTGATTGGTAGTTTATCCCACAGATAGCCCTATCAAAGTGGTCTAAATGATGCATTCGTGCGTTTACAATATACTATATAGCCCTTTATGTCCAGACGTCAACCGCTACCAAACAACCGGTTCAAATTCAGTTCCTGCAGTTCATTTATTTAACGCTGCTATTGTGGAATATCGTTAGGATGCACCCTAAATGGATCCACGCATCACATAGCTCCAAGGAAGCGGCACCCGAGTAAGCGTTGTCAAAACTATTTATAATTTTTCTCACGGATCGCATGGAGTATGACTGCACTCCATATTAATTTCTTCGTGCACATTCAATTTCTATTTCATACTAGCGTTATGCAGCAGTGCAGTTAAATCGGTGGACGCTTTAACTGGCGATTCATTTATTGTTTCCTATTTACAGTTTTCACTTCTAACAGCCTACAGGACTCGCAAGCAGCTGCTATTTTACCCTCGGTTAATCGTTGTTCATTGTTCATATACACATTAGCTAGAGGTGGAAAACAACTAAGCTATTATGCCCTAATACATGAGAAAGGGAAAAAGACACAATACAGGCACATCAGCTGAGCCACCAGTAACAGATGGACATTCTTCCGGAGAGTTAGCAGCCCGCTACTGTGCCGCTGAAAAGTTGCATTCTGCGTCAGAAAGGAAATCGAGGTTCGAGAGTGGGTATTAAGTGCGAGGAGAAGGCTTACTCCCTGCTAATCTTGGAGAAAGATGTAAAATATCTAGCGAAATGATTGGCAGCCAGAGCTAATTTATCTATGGCAGATTGGCACCTTCGAGAGGTGTCACAGATGAGCGCAATATCGTCAGCATACTCCAAGTCTAGAAGTCGGTCACCTGGGAGCAGCTCCACACCTTCTAAGTCGTACGAACGCAGTTTCCATGACTCCATCGACGTCAAAGTTAAGAAGTAGAAATGATATCGGGCGAAATGGTCTCACGCCGTTGTAAGTATGGAAAAGTGGCGACAGTTTACCATAAGTCCACACTCTGCCCGAACTATATGCGTACACCGTTATATTAATGTGTTCATATTTACCGGGCGCATCTTTCCTGAGCAGACGGTCCCAAAGGGTATATTGATCCACCGAATCGAATGCACTTGTGATGTCCAGGAACATGACAGCGGTTGGCCGACAATATTTGTGACGGTGCTTCAACAATTGACATAAAGTGAGGATCGATGCAGCCGTGACCTCGACAAAGTCCGACTCGCCCCTCACGAATCTGACTTTTATGGGTGCCAGTCAGTCTATGGAGAACGACAGACAATTTGGATCAGACTGATTCTTCCATGGTTCCCGAATTCCGAACATGAGCCTCTCTTGAAAACTAGGACTATGACGGAACGGCTGCGGTTTGTTGGGACAGTCTCCTACTCCCACAGCTTCACCATTAATTAAGTTACGTCAATCATACACCGCAGAACACCGTCCAACCATCGTAAACAAGGATTAAAATGACGTTTGCTCTGTATGTTGTCAATGAATAAGCGGTTAAGTAATCTAAGTATCCACACATCTTCTCAGAGTTGTTAAATCATCCCCTGGGTCATGACAAATCCCTGTTTCTCAGTATAACAGAGTTCGACCAGCGGCAACAAACAAAACAAAACGACCCAACATTTGAATCAACCACATCAAATGAATGCGTGTGTGTTAAGCGTTACTCTAAGTCAGTGGTCCCCAACCTTGTGGGAGCAATTATACCATAATTCGAGTTCACTATGAACCAGTGCCCAACTTTCGAGGGTAAGTTAACGACTGGCAGTTGCATATTCCGCTTTAGATCAAGAAAAGCAATTTTTTGATAATCTTTAATCCCAAACAAAGAAAACACTACTTTTACCCAATCTTTGTTAATAAATTAAGTGGCAATGTAAGTTACGGGGAACCTTGCTATTGCTACGTTTTTACAAGTTAACGTCTATCACATTGTCCCTCTTACGTGAGCTTATGCAGGTAGCTGTGACGTGTGTGACATTTTCCTAAACATCTGAAAACCTGCATTATTATAGCTCTTAGAATGCATCCAGTTAATTCGCTTAATTTTGCTCTACGTCCAGAGGTTAGCGAAATCGGTGATGTCAACCTCACACGCAGAGATCCATCTTAGTGGGGCGAACGACTACCTGACTCAAACGATTGCCGAGGGAGCCGATAGACGCGCGATTTCAAGGGGATGCGTTGCAGACTTAAATCCGTATTTTAAGTGAGACAACGTTTACACCATGAGCCGGTCTATTTCGCTAAGCAATTACTAATGTTTCGTCACTAATAACTAGTTAGATGAGTAGTTACTGATGTTTTTATGCATCTTTTTATTTCGTAGCCGAGCTCTGACCCAATCCTCGTATTTATCGTTACGACACGTGAAAGCCCCTTTTTCCCTCCTTTGTGCTAATCTCCCCCAACTTGGGAAGCATCGCACTAGTTTTATTGAGTATTTTATTTCGAGCTACTGAGGTTTGACGATATCAATTAGACCACAAGATATTTACTTGACATCTTTTCCATTATCACAACCCTTGCCATTTTACCCACTGCAATGAGTTCGTCGATACATTGCTTTGAATGGCACAATGATTCTCTTAATTCTCCGGTCAAATTGTCTACTCACTTCGGAACCCCTGCTTTTGTTATTTATAACTTCTCATCTGAAAGAATTAAATCTGTGGGGCTGCAAGTTCTACCACTCCGTTTTATCCATCCGGTGATATATTCAAAAATTTTACTGCGACTCTTGATCTAAGTTTAGCATCGTGGAGACTTCCAAACGGCGCCTCATTCTCACGTGTTCTACAAATGTTTGTAGGGATTCATCCAATTCGAACCCACTCCTCCCCAATTTTCATCGCTCCTGTTCTGTTAGTTTTTAGTCATAAGCAGTTTGCCTCCTTTTTGATGTGTGCGCATGCGTGTCCGACCCGCCCCCCTTTGCCCATAATTTTCACGTTCGCGAAGGAGCTTATTTTAAGAGTAACGGTTTGGTCTTGACGGCTGAGGTTGCGTATTGAACACACACACGCGCGATATCCATCACCATTCCGCTGGTGCGATTCTTCGCGCATAAATCACGTACTTGCATTGCACGCAATCTGACCCCAGAAGAAATGTTTGTCAACCTGCAAGCAAACGGAGGCCCATCCACCTCTGGAGATGAACGATACTCGGCGTAAGCGCTAGAAAGTGACGCGTTCTTCTGTGGATCGTGCACGTACAGACGCGGTTTCAGTTGAAGTAACTCACTTGTCAATGTCCGCCAACGCCTTGGTTATGGTGTTCTGTGTGTGTTGATCCAAGTTCCATTCTAACCGTTTCGGAGTTGCTTGTTCGCACAGAGAGGGAAAACGAACAAGCCTCCAGCGTTTCACTTCTTGCCTGGAATACAATAGCAAAATGTGGAAATATTCGGAAGTATTCAGATACAACATTGGGCTTAAGCAAAACCTGTGTTTAAGAAAAGCGCCAACGTGTATCACCATCACAAACTTAGGTAACAACCGCACTTTTGTAGTGGAGGGGTGAATGAAGTCTTTCCCACTAAATTAATTTTAGAATCAGATGGTGTGAGCAGGCACCGTGGAAATCTCATGGTTCTAAGTTTGCGGTTACTGAGACCTAAGTTTCCGTTTAAATTAACTACGCAACAGAAGTATGCCTTTGACTTGGTCGACCATAGGATAGATGAACTTCCAAATTATGCTACCGAACCGGGAGTAACATTCTGAGTGAGAATTTTAGATACGACACTAAAAAATTCACCACTCTTTCTTAGTTTTATCTTTTGAAGGTATCGCAAATAAATCATACATTTGCTAGATCCTTTATACCTGTCCTCATACAGTTTACCCAAATTTCGATACGCGTTTCTCCTTTCTGTCCTACATCCCGCATGCTCTCGTGAACTGCTACTTAATCACCGATATTCGCATCCTCATAACTTTCTGAAGTCCATCCCTTAGCTCAGCAAAAACAATTAGGGCATCTTTTCTCTATCGTGCTGCAAAGTTCCTCAACTGCGACTTGTGCAAACTTCAGGAGCACTTGCCTGAAACTTACATGTATTGGAGAATGTGTTCGATTAGGCGGATGACCGCAATTCCCTCAGCCACCGAATGTTCGTAATTCAGTCCACAATTTCCGTCTCTGGATATGATGAACTGAAAACAAAACAGTTAAGAAGTTTCACAATCTTGAGTGCATCAATTCACATTCTATTTCGACTTTAGTCGATTTTTCGTAGTGAAAAACGACTTTTGGTGAATTTAAGCTGTCTTTCCTCATACAGTCAGCATTGGTATAGAAAACGAAGTGTGGCAGTCATAGAATAGGAAAATAACTTAGAGTATTAAGTCAGGAGGGGAGCACCTGAGGGTCGCAAATGGATGCAGAGGCTTTACCGACATGGATACACAGAAAACAGCCCCATAACAACTTCGTCTCCCACGTGATCCCTCCTAAGCATTAGTATATGTAAATGCGATCTAGCCCTCAGACAGAATCGAATAGCGGTCACTTGTGACAAACATAAGTTTTATTGAGCGGCACGTTGGTCACAGGTAAAAATAGACAACGAGTCCAACAAAGCTGTAACGAAAAGAGGGTCTCTTATTGAGGACTGCAATACTGTATTCAAGGTAACGATTCTGTCGAATTCAACCATAAACACTGTCGTTCCTCCATTATTTTCCACACGATGGTGAGTACTTCTTCATGGACACCTTCTAGGGGGAGGCGTTATTGTGAACATGTTAAGTAGCTTATACGTTTTCAGAAAATCGACTCTGTGTGAGATGGTGAAAACGCCGTTGAATACTTCATGGTTTATCACTCGGTGAAATTAACCAGTTAGCTAAACATATTAATCAATACATTCAGTTCCAATCGGTGGTGGGTTACTACCGAAATCCTGTTCGCTTTTAAGAGTGCCCGATTGGCACATTCGGTTCGTTCCGAATCTTCTGGTATCCGTTTTGGTCCTTTTCTGTAGCCGGTTCCCTACATTATAACGACAACAAATGTCTGAATCACGTGACCATACCTTCTAACCTCTGTCTTTGCAGCTACTGTCAGGTTTGCCTTCTGTATTTCCTGATCTTCCTGTTAAATGCTGAAGATGCGATTTAAACACGTTACCAGCAAAATTCATATTTCTGGTATCTGTCTGCCGTCAATTTGGTGAAGTTTCAGATGACTAACCTACCAGAATGTAGTCACTCAAGACATGATATCGAGCTTCGCGCAAGTTTAAATTTATGGGTTCCCACCATCCGTGAAAATTTATTTTTATCCGCGGTTCTTTTGACATCATTCTCTTCACCCGAACTGTCAGATATAATCTTCGTGCTACTCCTCCGGGAGAATGCGATCCCACCAGGATGCTGAAGATTAAAAAGCGCATTGAGTCTACGGTCATGACACTCCCACCCTCTGTTCGTTCCCACCCGTTGTCCTCCCACTCTGTATGGATGTGCGAATCGAGAACTGAGCAGTGTTCTCGTGTTGGCTCCAACCTGTCCTGACACACACAACTTCCCACAACCAGTCCCGGAGACATACAAACTGCCTCTCGCACACACTGTGTGGTTCACATGGGTCATGCCGGTGAGTCAGTATGAGCTTACCGTGGTACCAAATTATTAGGTTTGCAGTGGGAGTTGGTCGTTGTTTACACAGTTTCTGTCTCAGGTTAAGAAGTCTCAGTACCTCGCAGTGGATAGGAATAGGCAGCAGAGTTGGAACTTGAATTATTCTATATTGGGAATGATCACTGATGCTGTGGCATTATAAAAGCAGTGTGCGAAACCGCAAACCTCACTGACAGTGCGGAAAGTGTTGCTCAGAGACGAGGCAAGACACTCGTTTGCCAATTATGCTCAGATCTTGACTAAATGTCTCACATTTGGCGACTAAATTCTCTGGCACCGGATGGTTCGCACCTCATTTTGAGACTATGGGGCATTTACCGATGTTGCTGCGACCCTGAATTACCCGAGCGATACACAACAAGACACGAAAACTCAAAACCCCAGGGGAAATCCTCAACGGATATCCCTTTAATGTTGTTCATGAAGCGAACATTTAAAGGGGATAAAGCTGGCAGGAGGTGTCTGGATCGTCTCCGCCAATCTATCAATAATGTTCTGATGCGGCTGAACTAGTGGTATTGTACGAAACAAGCGAGTCGCTATGAAACTGCAATCTAAACATACCAGACTCTCAAATAACCGCTTCATGTATCTATTTGTTTCACTTTACTTATGGTAGTAAGTACATTGATCGAACTGAGCGAAGGCTGTCCACAGGGATCACAGAGCACATTCCTCCTAGTATGGTTGCAAAGGCCCCCAAAATACCTAACACCTCGATTGCCCGCCACATCACGATTTCTGTGTGTGCCGAAACTCACGTGAATCTTTCGGGGTAATTAACAAACTAGCAGATCCCAGTCTGCTTCGTTTTGTTGAGGCTTCGACTATTAGGTGGCTGAAACCAAGCCTATGCAAACAGACAGATTTTGTGACTAGTCGCGTCGTACCCTGGTGAGATCAGTATTTATGTTCCATATTACGTACGAGCCGGATGGATAACTCACTCCACTCCGGTAATGTACTGAGCGTTGTTCCCTCTCCTAATTTGTACGCTACAGCCACCTGAAGCATCAACTAGCCCTTCAGAGTAACGGCGGAACTCCACAAATAAGTTGGCAATCCCTTCGACCATCGGGATTTACAGTTTTCCGAAGGTCTAACTCGCTGATTGTAGTAGTTGATTCAGCAGCTTAAGCTTATTCTGGGAGTTTTGCGGTCTAATTGTGGACCTACCTCTTGGTATCCCCAACAACCGTAACGAAACTAGCAACCGGCACCGTATCGATCGCAAAAACTGTGTTCTTGTTTTTAACATGAATTGAGCAAATCAGTAAGCTGCTCACTATTTCCAACCAAACATTAGCTATAAAAGTGACTGCCTGACTCCATCGATTCACATCCCGAGCGGTCTAATACCCCACATTGTAGGCGTCTTTTATCTCATTTCACCGTTCATCTTTTAACTATTTTTATTAGTGTTTCTTGAGTTGGACGTGTTACTTAACACTGTACATCCCTGTGGCATCTCTTTCTCGATTCCCTCCTTCCATTTAACACTCTAAGGGTTAGTTCCGTTGTAAAATGGCTAACGAGTCAGGACGCTCGTTGTGGCAATGAATCGGCCCAGGTTGAAAACAACAGCTGATAGATTATCGACAGCGAAACACTACATACTGATATCCAACTTCCTTCTCAAGCTCTGTCCCAGATCGTCATTTTCCATATCCGATAACCTGTTCGTACGACGCAAAATCGTGAAGCGTTGCTTATATTTCTGCTGGCTCGTAACTCTAAGGATCACAAATCTGCCTCGTAATTCGGGGGTTCTGGTTCGGGGCTACATAGTATCCTTAGCCCACGTGCGACTGATGGCGGTTGCGCGAAAGCAAAACGTCGGTATTGCTTACCGGCGTAATGTTGATGTTTTTCTTCTTCCTTTCTTTCTTGTATCACCAGTCTACCACCTAGTACCTACTGTCATTCCCTGGGATTTGAATATCAACGTGTACGGCCCCTTCCCACTCCGCAGTAACTTGTTATTTCGTAGCCTGTTAGTCATTCGAGTCGCTGCTTGGGTACCAGAGTTTTATGGTACCACGGAGAATACCTGTGCTTCGCGGTCTGTTGAATTAAGTAATTTAATGGCATACAAAGGACGGTGTTTCTATAGTAGCAAATGTAGTCGCTGAACATTGATACCTTTATTTGTCCGCCACTGTTAAGAGGAATCTCGGTGCAGTGGTTTCTCCATCCTTTCTATTAAATTTCACTTAACTTAGTGGGCTTTATTGTAGCTAAAACGAAGCATCAAGAAAGCGCAGTCCTTATTGCAAGTGATTACGATCAGGCAAGCTACCGCGCACGCGTGCATATATTGGCCATGGTTCTGTCCCATAACTCACAACACGTGGAAAAGGAATACCAGTCACGTTGGCGCGTCATTTCGTCACACTTGCGTGAAGCTTTCCTGCCTCTTTAACTCCATGTCTTTGCTTCCGTAATTCGCATGCTGACCTGCCCGTATTTGTTCCGAGCCACTCGATCTCCTTGCTCGTGGTGGAATTACTCTGTTTGGAGTTACTCCTGAATAAACCGACAGTGTCGTTTATTCATGCTAATGAGAGAACGGGGCCTATTCGAAGAAACAGAAGTTACCTTATTACAAACCCTTTTTGGATGATTTCTTAGTCTTTAGTACCCAAGAAATGCCGAGCACACAGCTGGTAACGTTTTTTAATTCCTCGCATGTCAACCTCGGAGCTTCTTGGTAAGTTGCACAACAAAATTGTCTTCCCCAGTTGGATGTTCTCATCAGCCACAGGGAGACAAGGACAAGTAAAAAGGTCTGTCTACCGAAAAACAATGTCGTACATCCAGTATCTGCATTTTGGAAACATTATAGTGTTGCTCATTCCAACACTGGCACCCCAAGACCGCGGTTTCGTCCTGGTTGGGACTCATCAGTTGGAGATAGCCTGAGTTGGGCTGGAACTCAGAGCCTAGTGGCTCATGGTTGACGTCATAAGCACTATGCCACTGAGATCCACGAGCAACGCTTGGTCCAGCGGAAACGAATGCAAAGTTGGGCTTGGAGAATCCGCTGGTGGTTGGGTTGCTACAAACAACCTCTATTGAGTCCTCGGTTCACCTGAAGTGGACCTGGGTCATTCCGATCAACAAGACCGTAAGTAAAATGGAAACATTTTACTGCATTTTACTAGTTTCACGCTCATACGGTACAAGCAGGCGTTCGTCAAGACCCCATTTAGTCGTGTCAGACGAATCTGCTCCACCGATTGTCTAACCGATGAACTAGAGCTATTTGCCAACACGCTTTTTGCAAATGGCTATCCTGCGCAGTTCATCCAGATGCACAGCCGAATTTGTGAAATGAAAGGTGCTATACCTAACGTACCTAAGATAAAGGTCTTCTTAAAGCTGCCCTTTAAGGATGACATTGTTAGATTGCGGACTACAAGAAGTCTGGTTTCGGCCACAGGTTGGCGAAGTTGCAATCTCGACCGAACTCATAAGTTGCCGATGCCTCCGCTGAAGGAAACTCAGCCTAT